GCTTGGGGGGGGGGGTGTTCAAACAGGTTTTTTAGTAATCGGTTACTGGAACGATGAAAAGAGTCTCTTTATTCGCCCCATTATCCAGCTCTGAGCATTTGAAACTCGTGTTATATCACTGAGTTAGCAGCGATAGAATGTGGGTTTGTTGGATACGTCAATTAGTGTTTGTTGATTTTTGCTTCGGGAAACTTTTCGTTTTGTGTTTGTCTGCTCATGTTTTGGATCTCCTTTACGACTGTGTGTGGTAATGGATATTAGGATGAGTTATCTTTGGGAAATTGATACTGTCTTCTGATTATGGTCGGTTCTTCGTCTTGTTAAAACTTATAGGCATCTTCCTGCCCGCTGTTGTGAGGCCTATTCTAGATTCGCTCGAGTCATCAAAGCAAGTTCAACCGCCTCCATTGACAGACGTGAGTATTCGAACAAATCCATCATTTTGCCATGAAAGCTTGTTTTGTGACTTTCTGTGCATTGTTAAACAGCTTATTCAGATAATCTTTAATGTTGGTATTTACATGCTGAAAGCCGTCTATACATCATTTGTATGTTGTCCTAAGCATAATCTTTCATGATAGTTTTTTTATGTACTTGCGACTCTGAGCATTCTTTGGTTTTCATGAATGAGTGTATAATAGTCATGCATTTTTATGTAAAAAATTGGTTGGACCTAAAAGATCGATTGATTGTTATCTCTGTTGATTTGAGTAGAAATTCTTAATGCCCAACTGGAAGCTGCTTAACAAATTCGACTCAATCATTTAGGCACAGACACATGATGTTACTCAATCTGCCTTGTCTTTGCAGGTTGTTGCGGGTGTCACCGGTAAGAAACAAGGTTGATTGAGGCAATGATCTTCCCTTTTTACTTTTGACTACCCATCTGCCTCTTGTTGAATTCTCTCTCGGAATGAAATAAGCCAGACTTCTATTTTTTGTTACTGAATGCTCTCTGAAAGCGCCTTGGTATCAATCAAACTTACATTAAAGGGCATGACACTTCACAAATTCCCTTTGTTGTTCTTGACTTTCTTCTTTTTCCCTCCATTTTGTACAATATTTCTCCGAGCTATGTTCTAAGAGCTAGAAAATGGCCAGAGAATTGGGAAAGCTGGAAACTTTGTACATTCTCTGTCTGAATCTTAGCATATATATATACTCACACCACAAAGACATTATTAGGTTACACTTTGATAAGCTTGATTATGTACATGAATTTTTATTGAATATTTTCCATAAACTTGGATCCTCAAGAAGCAGATGCTTTTGAGATGCTTTTGAGATGACGTGGGAGAAGCCTTCTGCCTCACTCAAAAGCCCTCTCTTGAATCTTTTCTCGTCTTCTTGCTCTTACATTTTACCGCTTGCTTGAATCTTTTATATATATCAGCCTGCATGCATTTTTTTCCCAAACAAAACCATAACAGTTTGCACTTGCATAGCAACAAACGAAAGGCACAAACAGACAAACACACACGTGCACACACTGTAATAAGCCAAGGGTCCTCTAATTAAAAGATCTATATATATCTAACCACAAGAGATACGTGCGGTGAGGATACAACTTCACATATTAATCATACATTATGATTATGAAGAGAGAGAGAGAGAGAGAGAGAGAGGCGGACTAACCCAGAAATGAGATCTTGGAGTAGAGAGACTGTAGAGACTTGAGTCTCTCCCAATTCTTGTCACTACATTCACACTGGTGTTGATATCTCCGCTGTCTTCTCCTCTCTCACTCTCCCTGTTGCTGTCAACACACGACGGAAAGACGTAGCTACCCCTCACCGCATCCCCTTTGCCTTCCTTCTTCCGCAACCACCACCGAACCCTTCTCCTCACGGCATCGCCCGCGGCGGGCAAGGGCATTTTGGTAAATTCCTTGGGAAGTAGCAGCCTTGGCGGCAGTTCAAGGCACCTGTTGCTGTAAGTATGGGACAGGAGGTGAAGCTTGGGCTTGCCAGGCTCTTCCTCCCAGCAAAAGGGAACCGAAGCCAGAGTGTGGAGAGGAGATGCGAACATGTTGGGGCTTGCAGGAGATGACGTGTACACAATTGCTTTCGATTTGGCTGCTAAGACAAGTGCCATTTTCGATGTCATCGTCGCCATTTCTTCTGCTCCACCACCCATTTTCTCTTCTGTTCTGTCTCTTGCTCCCTCTCTCTCTCTCTCTCTCTCCGGATGCTGTTCCTTGTACTTTGAGATACTTCTTATGGGTTTATTGAAGAGAGGAATTAAGGCAGTGTTTAAGTGAAGGGATGAAAGGAAGAATGAATCTTGAGTTAATGAGGGTTGGAGATGTGTCCTTTTTAGTGATTTGTGGTATTTGATTATCCAATGGTGGAAAATGTATTTGTTGACCAAAAGAGACAACCGTTCTCAAAAGTCATTTGTCTTTCTTGATTATTTTTTTTTTTAAAAAAGAGTTTGATTTTGACACACACACACACACAGAAACCTTGCTTTTATCAATTATTAGATATCAAGTGTGAGAATTTTTCTATTTAGAAAACAAAGCTTGGTTACTAAAAATGTTTGGTTAGCATTTTGGTTTAGGGTTTAGAATAAGGTTTTTGCAGAATTGGGGTATCATTTTGGTTCGTAATAAATCCGCATCACTGACTGAATTAACCAAACATGTCCATGAATCATGTTGTTGTGGTGTATGTGTATGTGTATGTGTATGTGTATGTGTATGTGTATGTGTATGTGTATGTGTAGTAATATTAATAGTAGTCTAAGATCTTGTCGCTTACAGCTAAATCTTTGCCGACAATGACTTTCATCATTTTTCCCTTTTGCAATTTTCACCCATTTTTAACTTTATGCTTTTCATCGTCACTTCTTCTCCACCGACAGCCAGCTCTTATATTTGCATATATATATATATATATATATTCATTTTCTTGAAAGACAAGAGCCTTCATGGATCTTGATTCAGATATCCATGGAATTAAAAAAAAAAGATTTTATGTTTTATTGCGTTCGTCGTCTTTGAATCTTGCCTCATTTGCTTGCAGCATCAATAATATCAAGTTGATATTATTAACTCTTTCGAACATTTTATTTCTTTAAAAAAAAACGTGAAAACATAGTAAAAAAATAATGCAAGGAAAATGATGAGAGTGTCAGTGAGACTAACTCTGGTCACAAAAGGAAAATCCAATCTAATAGGAAGAAGAGATTTCTCAAATATAATAAAAATTACAATAAGAATAATATAGCATTTATGAATATAATATAAATTCACCGATTCCGAGGAAAAATGACACTTTTGGGTATTTAAACATTCAAGGAAAAGACAAGAAGCAGGTGGATCTTGATCTCGTGATACCGCCAAAAGAAAAAAAAAACACATGAGATTGAGGGAGCAGGTGAATGATTCACGACCAAATCGTCTTCGTCATAATCCCCCCATAATCCATAATTTCATTATTGTACATATTTTAGTTGTATATTTGGGTTAATTAAACTTATAATTATCGTATGAAAAAAATGTGTTTCGAACTTGTAGTAACATTTATTTTTTGGTCGTCGGACTCGGAGTTGTCGCAAGTTTGTAACATTGATTGTATCACATGTGTTTTCTGGGTCCATGTATTGGCATTTATGGATAGAAAGACGTATAATAGTTGGGGACAATAACTATGCCTAATTAAGATTTTTGGTAATTAGTTGTTTATCATACGATTCGACCAAGATTCAATGCACCCAACGTTTTTTACGTCGTTGTCTACCAGATTACGCGATCAAATTCTCGTATCAACTTTTTCTTTTCTTATTATAAGATAAGATGCCAATAATAATACATCATTGGAAAAGAGGGGAGAACCCCATGCATGCAAGTCACGTTGAACATGAACCACGCCGCCTCCGACCGCTCCCAGAACCATGGCGAAATCTGTCAAACGAGAGAGACAACTATGGTGTTTACATACAAGTGAAGCAACGAAAATCCTGTAATTAAGCTTAAACAGATTTGTTTTTAAGAAAAATTATTACCAAACATAAACAGACAATGGAATCAGATGGAGGCAGTGTTCGCTCACATGGTGGGTCGGTTGCCAAATCCCAAAAAGCTTGGGGAAGTGGAAGACAGAGTCACGAGAGAGTGGGGGATACCTCATTCATTGCAGCATTAACTCCCCAAACCTAAACACCTCTCTCTCTCTCTCTTCTTCCTCTTGTTCTATATTTTTTTTGTTATCAGTTCATGATCTCTTCTCTGTGATGCATTGCCCTTCTCTTCTTCAACCAAAACCTGATGATGATCATGATGGGTCGTAGTGTTGTTGTCGTCGCGGCGTTGGCGTTCGGGGGATTCCTCGTGGCTGCGGTCACTGGCTGTCCACCGTCGGACAAGGCGGCTCTGATGGCACTGAAATCAAGCCTCACCGAACCTTATCTCCGCATCTTCGATTCATGGAACCCAAACTCCGACTGTTGCAGCGGCTGGGG